TTTCGAATGACTCACCGATTTTCGGAACTCGTTGACGATTCCGCGCGTGACGCATCTTTATTCTCGCGTCGACATGAATTCGATGGGATCGTTGACTAGTTCCACTGTTGTTTTATCGTCGCGTCGATTGGTGCAACGTTGTAGAGAAGGATTGTAGCGTGGAAACCGGAAGATGAATTGGAGAAACGTGCGCTATTAATACTTGCGCGGAATTTGTAAATTTTGCCACTGTTGAAGTAAATTGGGTTATGCTGTGGCAATGAAGTGTATTGGTCAGAGATAGACATTTAAATTTGAGGCAAAATTAAGAAACGTTTTATTTCATTTTTATTAAAATAGTTCAAGTAATACGTGTGATTCTTTGAACTTATTTTTTATATACATATTTAATATATTTTTGGCTCTCGTCAGAGACCTCGTTTGCATATCTTTTTCGTCGGTGTAGAAATGGTAAACCTAATGGTAAACAATGTGTATTTTCAGAGATATTTGCAACTTAATTTTATTGAATCTTTTATACAATATTTATAACAAGCAATTTTAGCAATTATTATTAAATAGATACTATTGAAAAATTGTCAATTAGTATGGTCCATTGATACACGAAGAAAAGTAGGTATTCTTAATTCGATTTTCAATAGAAATGTCAAGAAAGGCTATCTTTCATTTTTTATTACCTACATAATAACGAGAATTAAACAAAAGAATTAAATTGCAAAGTGTTTCTAAATAACTTTGGATCTTTCCAATTTTTCAAACGTTAATCAACGACACAACTGGGTCACAGCGGCTAATCAATACAGTACTGCATAAAAAATTCAAATCTCCCCTTCCAGCAACTAATAAATTCCACAATTAAGAAATTCAAATCCTCCTCAATTCCGTTAGTAAATCACACACAGATCCAAGTCGTTAATTCTCCGCAACCCATTTGCCAAAAATGTCATCTAGGAATTAGAAAATGGTCAATTCGATGCTCGAATCTTCTAACACACGTAACCCGCTGCGCGAGGAATGCTCGATTCGTGTATAATCGACGGCGATCTATCATTGACACGCGCACGGTTCGAAAAATCGGTCGACAGCGGTGAATTTGAATTTTAAATTTCCCATGGACGGATCGGTAATAAGCGTGGAATGTTAACGGGCTTCTCGGCTGTGCCAAAAAACGGACGCGATATTAACGAACGACGATAAATCGGTGAGAGAGAAGAATTTCTTCGTTTCTGAATAGGATCGTCTGGTGTTGCAACAGGTCCAACGACGTGAAACGATTCCTACAGTGGAATTTCAAGAGGTAGAAACCTCTCGAGTACGTTGACTTAGTTCGGGCTGTTTCCGGTTCCGGGAACGGAAAGAGACACGTTTCGTTTTGGTCCATTCACGAAAACGTTCTAACTTTCGTTTTCCCTGGCAGATGCAGGGTGACGTCAGACGCGTCGCGCTCGAGTTTACGGCGCCATAAAACTTTAATCGCCCTGTCGCTCCTGTTGTCTCCCCGCGACGGGGCAAGAAATCGAAAGCTGAGCTGGATCGCGTGCTGATTTTGATAAAGGCGAATATTTCGGGAAGTGAGCGTGCCGAGCGTGGGGTTGCTGAGTGTGGAGATTGCTGAGTGTGAGGATTGCTCAGTGCGAAGATTGCTGAGTGTAAGGATTGCTGAGTGTGAAAATTTCTGAGTGTGAAGATTTCTGAGTGTGAGAACTTCTGAGTGTGAGGATTGATGAGTGTGAGAATTTCTGAGTGTGAGGATTGATGAGTGTGAAGATTCCTGAGTGTAAGTATTGCTGAGTGTGAGAATTTCTGAGTGTGAAGATTTCTGAGTGTGACAATTACCGAGTGTGAGGATTGCTGAGTGTGAGATTTACCGAATATGAGGTTTGCTGAGTACGAGAATTTCTGAGTGTGAGGATTGCTGAGTGTGAAGATTTCTGAGTGTAAGGATTTCTGAGTGTGAGAACTTCTGAGTGTGAGGATTGATGAGTGTGAGAATTTCTGAGTGTGAGGATTGCTGAGTGTGAAGATTTCTGAGTGTAAGGATTGCTGAGTGTGAAAATTTCTGAGTTTGAAGGGTTTGCTGAGTACGAGAATTTCTGAGTGTGAGGATTGCTGAGTGTGAAGATTTCTGAGTGTAAGGATTTCTGAGTTTGAGAACTTCTGAGTGTGAGGATTGATGAGTGTGAGAATTTCTGAGTGTGAGGATTGCTGAGTGTGAAGATTCCTGAGTGTAAGTATTGCTGAGTGTGAGAATTTCTGAGTGTGAAGATTTCTGAGTGTGACAATTACCGAGTGTGAGGATTGCTGAGTGTGAGATTTACCGAGTGTGAGGTTTGCTGAGTACGAGAATTTCTGAGTGTGATGATTGCTGAGTGTGAAGATTTCTGAGTATGACGATTGCTGAGCGTGAGAATTTCTGAATGCGAGGATTGCTGAGCGAGGATTGCTGAACGTGAGAATTTCTGAGTGCGAAGACTACTTACTGTCAGGATTGCTGAGTGCGAGGGGGACCAATTCTGAGAACGAAGAGGACCAATTTCTTCAAAGGACAGGGAACGAAAGCGGAAAAAACTATTAATAATCATACAAAGAACAAATTTATCCTTAAAACTTATTCACGAATACACTCACTCCTTGCTAACAGGAAAAACTGAAATTCACCGTCAAATTCCTACAATTTTCTCAAAAAATAAATGTCGAAATAAATATTTGACCCTCTGGATCATCTTCAAATTCATTGATATCAAAGTATCCTGTAAGCAAGAATTATTAAAGGACCATAGTGCATTTCCGCTGGTGCAGTAGCACCGGTGCGCGTGCGCCGCGATCTGAGCCGATTTCGACCGTGATCCCCCCGTTTTATGATATTTCAAACGTAAAAAAGGAAGCGTCCGGAATGTGTGCCAGTGGGTCTCGGCCCCCGTTCGCGCTTTTCCTCCCTCCAGCTCTCTTCGCAGAGCGAGAAGGACGCGGAGAACGGGCCTAGTTCGAAGAAAATTACCTCGAGCAGGAAGGGGGCGAGAAGTTCAAGTGGGGAGAGAAAAAGTGCATAGAAAGAGGGAGCCCTGTGAAACTGCGTCGACTCTCTCGATCGAACGCTCTCAGGCTTCGATCGTCTGCTTTCCTCTCGCGAAAAACAATCTTTCGATCCGAAAAGAGAAAAGGATATTTTCCTATGCAAATGTCCGTGAATAATTCGATCAATTTTCCTGGAATTAAATCCATTCGTCAGAAAAAAGATACTTCCAATCCGAAGAGAGAAAAGAAAATTTTCCTATGCAAATGAATGATTCGATCAATTTTCCCGCAATTAACTCCATTTCCCAGAAGAACATGTATAATCGTATTCGAAGTGAACACGAACGATAAACGATCTTCACGGTTGCATCGTTAAGTAGGGGAAATCGTAATTGATTATCTGCATAGATATTAATCGGCACAGTCTAGCCTGACGATAACGACGATATCACACTTGGAACAACACTGATCCAAAAGATGTCAGTTCCCCGAAGAACGTTTCACTTTGCACGATTTCTTGCACAACCGCGTCGTGCTACTTGCGAGACACGCTTACCCACAACCATCGTTCCACCACCAGCGCGGACATCCGGATCACAGGGAGGGCAGGGAGAGTGGCTTCTTACTATACCTCTTTATGCTCGTTAATCCGTTCGATTAGGAATAGACGACGTGAGAGTTTAATCGCGAGCATCTCTTTATCCCCCACTCGAGCACAGTGTGGAAATATGCAACATGTTGGCACACTTTCCTCTCACACTCGTCTCACATTTTCCTTCTCTACGCCGTGAATCGAGGATCTCCGAAGATCTGGTCCATCGATCGTTCCATATAACGACATATTTTTCCACGAGAATAAAACAAAACATACACACACACACACCCGCGCGCGCGCGCGCGCGAATGATTTCAATCGTATATAGTGATTAAATTGGATAACTCTTTTTATTCTTCGTTAATGATTTGTAAATAAATAAATAGTACAAAAGATGCAGAGAGTGGAGATGAGAAGAGTGTAAAAAAAATGAGGGTAATAAATAATCAATGCTTCGACTCGTGTACTTTGGTTTCTCCAGCGTCCGTCCGTATCGTCGATACTTCCTTTTCAGTCCTCGTGATCACACAGCATAACCGATCGTTACATATTTTTCTCTTTTTCGACAAAACACCATGTGCATCGTTCATCTCACGGATGTAAAAGTACGATCAGAATTTTGTCACTTTCGACAGTTTTACAGTCCGTCTATGTAGTTCGTCGTCACTTGTATGGGATTAATGTGTCATCGTCACTGTCCTCGATAATCTTCGTCCCCGTGTCGCTGTACCGTTGTAAAATAGTATCTTCAATGAGTGTTTTCTTATACTTTGTTTATAAATCAGCTTGATATATAACTCGAAGAGGATCTACGACGAACGGCTGTGTAATTTGTGTGCGGGCGTGTTCGTGATCAGGACACTAACGAGTCGCCGAACAGGTGAGCGTATCCTCTGTAAGGGAGATCGTGGTCGTCCTCGCCTAACGAACGCTTCTTCCGGTAATGATGATGACCGACGTCCTGCGCGTACACCACGTGGTGGCCACCGCCGCTGTCGTGACCGCTGGTCAACTTCTTCACGGCCACGATCAACGAGAGCATCAACGCCATTGCGGACACCATCAACGCCTTCATAGCGAGGAGACCGAGAGCACCGAACCCTAGCGCGGCCATCATCTTGCCTGGAAATTAGAGGACCCGAGTTAGCTGTGGATTTAGAGTCTCTTCAGATCTGGAATCTTCTCAAATTTAGAATCTTCTCAGATCTGGGATCTTCTCAAATTTAGAATCTTCTCAGATTTAGAGTCTTTTCAGATTTAGAATCTTCTCAGATCTAGAATCTTCTCAATGATGAAATGAGGTCTAAGCTCGTTTCGATGAAAAGTGTTCCGTTTTTGGGAAATTGAAACTGGAATATGGAATTTGTACTCTGGCTATGTTGAGGGATTTGTGTTAAAGATGATGTGTTTGTAATTTTGGGGATTCGAGTTTGGATCAATTTTAATTTTCCAGGGTAATCGATATAAATTGTTCGATATTTTGATTTCGATCTTAAGGAAATAGTGTTTCGAATTGTTGAGACTTAGGTTTGGATAGATTCTAATAATTATAAATTACTAAAAAATTAGTGCATTAGACTTAATTTGTAGATCAACTGTCAATCTGATAGCAACTACAGCACAAAATTTTCAAACACCAAGACTCTCTAGACCATCTCAAGTTACAATTAATCACATTAGTATTGCAACAATGAATACAAATAACTGTCTTACCCATCATCAGCGCCATGATCATGTATCCTCCGCCGCCTCCCTTCTTTCCACCGCCGCCTCCGCCTCCTCCTCCACCAAATCCACCGCCACCTCCTCCAAATCCACCGCCACCTCCAGCTCTTCCTGAAACCAATAGAAAACTTCTCAATACCAGTCCCCGAAAATGACCAAAACTCCTTCATCGTCGCCAAAAAAATCAACCTTGATCAACAGGCAAGCTCTCTTGAAGAGCGCTCTCGATATTCTGCGGAAGGAAGCTCGGCAGTTTGATTCTCAGCTCTCTTCCCTCCAAGAACTGCATCAGAGTCCCCATATTCCCGAATCCCTTCATCAATCTTCCCTTCCTGTTAGGTCCAGAGCCAGGTACCTCGACCAGACTCACTCCATCGAAGATCTCGATGTTAGGCTCCTTGCTGGACTTCTCCAACAGCTGTTGCACGATCTTCCTGACGATCCTAACCCCGTAGCAAGACACAGAGATATTCTTGGTGTCGGAATTCGAGCAGCCGGTCGACAATCCGCTCCAAACGTCGTTCGTCTCGTTTGCATCCGCGGAGCAAGCTTGCTTCGCCGTAGACAGCACGCAGACGATCGTCAAACAGACGGCGAAACGGCGACGCCGATCGCCGCCGGCCAATACGTTGCCGAACCAATCCATGGCTATTCACGACCGCGTACACCCTGATATATCTAGATCCTCCGGCCGGCGGATGGATTGAAAAATGACGGAGTAGAAAAGAAGAAGTGAATCCCGCAAGATAGGAACGCGACTCGCGAACTTACTCGAAGACTCTAACGTGAAAGACTAACGATCCTGCGGAACCTACGGCGGAGGTCCGAGTGGTGCATCACGGCGGTGTTCAAATCTCATTTATATAGTTGTACGTGCCGGTCGGTGATTGTACTACGAAAAAAGCAACGAGAGCATCAGCGGCGTCAGACCGGCCCGAGACCATTCTCTTATTCGTGTTGTTGGCTATGTGCATTAGCCTGCAATTTTTCGTTCGGTCGGCCGATCCTCTCGTGAATTCCTTTAATTCTTGTTGTTCGACGGTTGCGTTTTAGAGCGTTACGCCGCGGTTCGCTGCGAGTGAGCCAGCTAGAGAGGAGATAGCTGGAACTTACACATCTTTAGCCCACCTAACGTTCTGTATCCTTCCCTATCGTAGATCACCGTCTTTCTTCATCTATCGCTCGGATTTCCCACCGAGATAGATCTCCCATTGCCTCTTCTCATATTCGCGTCTCTTTTATTCTAGATCACCGATGATCAACGGCGAACGACCGTTGATACGCAGCCACCCCGCCTCGTCCCAGACTACCGGACACGGCTTCCTTTCCCTCTTTCCGCGCTTTAGTGGAGCAGAAGAGAACGTGGCCGATTTCGAATCAGCCTCGCCGATACGCTGCGTGGCTGGCTGGCTCGTCTTTCAATATGCAATTAACGGATAGCCACGCGAGCTTGACCAGAGTGTCCGCGCCAGATATTAGCGACCATGAAGTGAAGAGACTTTACGAGCCTCCACACCGGATGAATCGCATCTGAATCGTGTGTATAACGGAACGATCATGAAACCCTTCGTTACGAAGACGAGGACGACGACGACGAGGATGTTTCTTAGTGGTTTCGAGTAGAGCTGGGTGGTTCTCTTTGGGTGAGAAGGAGGAATGGAGGATCGAGGCGTCTGGCTCGATCGACGCCAAGCCAGATCGAAACTAGTTCATCTCTTCGCATACCTTTCTCTTCTGTTCCACTTCCCTTCGCGTGTTGCTCGTCGATATACTGGATATACATATACGTAAGCAGCCGGCTGGTAGGTATAACTAGGCCCGGTTCGAAACCGTTCGCTCGTTCCTCGCCACGACGCCACGCCACACGGACGATCGTGTATCCTTGAAACCCGATCGAGCAGGGATCTCCTCTGCTCCTTCGATTCCACTCCTCTTCCTTCTTCTTTCTGCCTCTCTTTTCTCCTACTCCGTTCGTTCTTTCTTCTTTGTCTCGGTGAAAGGGGGTGGGTGGGGGGAGATTGAGATTTTTGGGATTCTCTGGGTCATTGGAGTGAGGATTTGAGGGTGGTTTTCTGGGTTTGAATTTGAGTTCTAGGGTTGTGAGGAGCTTCGGATGTTTGGAGTTTTAGGCGATTGGAGATGTGGATCTTTGGATAATAGGAATTATTAGTTGATAAATATTTTTATCAAATCTTTGGGTGGTTAGGATTTTAGACGATTGAGTGTTACAATTTTTGGATGCTTGGAAATATGGATCTTTAGATCTTCAAGTAATGGGAATTATGGAGAGGTAGATATTTGAGACTTTGGATTCTTGTATGTTTGTAATTTTAGAAAATTCAGTGTTTGAATTTTTGGATGCTTGGGGATATGGATCTTCAGGTAACAGGACTTTAAGGAGATAGATCTTTGAAGCTTTGGATTTTCGTATGTTTGGAATTTTAGAAAATTGAGTATTTGGATTTTTGTGTTTGGAATTATGGATCTTTGAATCCTTAGATAATTGGGTCTTGGAATTTTGGTGTGCCTGAAGTTATAGATCTCTGAATCTTTGGATCTTCGTGTGTTGAGAACTTCAGGTAATTAGGTTTCTGAATTTTTATGTGCTTCGAGCTATAGATCCTTGAATCTTTGTATCTTCAGAACTTTAGACAATTGGGGCTTCGAATTTCTATGAGTCTGAAGGTATAGATCCTTGAATCTTCAGCATCAATTCTTAAATTTGACTGCAAATATTTCTCCAGTAGCTCTTCTTAGACACAGAGTGAATAAAATCCTGCTAATTTTCAGAATTACTCTCCAAACTGAGTAAACTCAGGCTAGAAAAGAATTCCTGAAGACAGGTGTCCCTGTTTCGAGAGCGTTCGGTGGTCTCCAGGTTTCTCCAGACACTTGTTCAACCACAAAGGTGGAGGGAACGTTAGAATCTATCACGAAGACGTTTTCTCCTTTCGATAGGCGGCGAATGTGTGCCGACACGGGGCTCTCGATCATTCACAGACTTGTCGACACCGTTACCCTTCCCTCGACGTCCTCTTCTTGTCGATAATAAGAAGATCCGATCGATATCCGGATACTTTCTCCTCCCGCGACGGATTTCTCCGAATCCGGCGAAAACGTGGTTCCGTGAAGGAACCAGGTCACGAAACAGTCTTCGTTTACAATTCTAACTCGCTTATCAATCAAGGAATGTATAAAAATTGCAATTAAAAAGGAGAACGATCGTGAGATTTAATTTCTAAGAAGACATTTTCTTCTGTAGCATTCCATTTCTTCATCCTGCTTGAAGAAATTCTCATTTACTATTCTAACTCATTCATCGATGAAAGTATGTCTCACAATAAAATTAAGAAAGAAGAGTTGCCACGAGAAAAATTTCTGAAGAATTTAATTTCTAAGAAGGAATTCTGCTTCTCTAAAGTTCTATTCCTTCATTTTGCTTGAAACAATTTTCATTCACAATTCTACCTTATCTACGGATCGGTAAATACATCACGATTACAATAAAAGAAGAGGTAAATTTCTGAAGGATTAAATTCCTAAGAAGGAATTTTCCTTCGTTTTGGTTTAATTTTCGTTTCTCGATCAGTATGTCAACCCACGTGTCGATCGTTTCCAATTTACGAGTATCGAGAACTGGGTCAAAGATGACAACCGCCTCTCTCCGGTACCCGAAACCGAAAGTTGATCTCCCCACTGTAGAGAAAAAGAGAGGTTCTCTCTCTTGGTTGTCCCTTATCGAGCAGTCATCTCCTTACCGATCCTTCCCAATCGAGGCGGAGAAAGCGGCCGCACAGAAACCAGGTCGACTCATTTGAATGAGAGATGCCTCGTGCATCGGGCTCCTCCGGTAGTTTTCCCTTCGTTCCAATCATCTTTGACGCTTCCGAAAGTCGACGGCCTGAGGGCGCCTTGAAAATTTGGGATATGGGAACCTGAGAACACTGGTGTCTCCTCTTTTTTTTCGAGAAGTTTGTCGTCTGATACGGCGGAGAAGAAAAATTAATTGTCGTTTACGATTCAGTTGGAATTCTTCAATGCTGAAATTTTTAATTTCAGAGAAGTTTCCCTCCGAGTTCCTAAATTCTGAAATTTCTGAATTTCAGAGAGGCTTTCCTTGAATTCCCAAATTCTGAGATATCTAAATTTCGGAGAAGTTTTCTTCGAATCCCTAAATTTTGAAGTTTCTGAATTTCAGAGAGTTTTCTTCTGAATTTCCCAATTCTGAGATATCTAAATTTCAAAGAGGTTCTCTCTTTAATTTCCTAAATTCTGAAATCTCTAAATTTCAGAGGTTTCTCTCTGAACTTGCAATGTCTGGAAATTCCAAATTTCAGAGAAGTTCTCTCTGACCTCCTAAAGTCCGAAATTTCAGAGAAATTTTCTCTCTTCGGAAATTTCAGAATTTAGAAATTTAGAAATTCCGAGGAAACTTCTCTGAAATTTCACAATTTCGGATTTGTAACTAAACAGTAAATTAGTGAGAAACAATTTCAGAGAAGTTTCCTCTGAACACCTAAATTCCCAAATTCTGAAATTTCTAAATTTCAAAAAAGTATTCTCTCAATTCCGAAATTTCTAAATTTCAAAAAACTATACCCTCAACTTTTCACTCAAAATGGAGTCTTTGTCCCCAAACTTTCGCTCCCAAAGTAATTCCTCCAGTTAAAAAATCATCGAACCTCCGTCATTCTCCATTTACTACTTCTTTGAAACCAAACTTTAAATACCAGTAAATTTAGCATTCTCATCGCACGTGAAATATCGAATACCTCGGATGCCTGAGTTTCCAACGTCCGTGAAATGAGCGACAGCCATATTGAATGAAATTCCTAGAGCATCGTCGCACCAGGCATTAAAGTCCCGCTAAGTTCCGCAAAGCGGAGCACGAACCAGTGAATACCACTATATATACATTCGGCATATTCTTTTTTCACCATCGAGCCACTTCGAACGCTTCATCGAACTTTCCTATCGACTGTCACACACGTGTAATCCTCCTAACAAACTAACTACAGTCAAACAAAAATCCATCAGTCTTCCCGACTTAATCCGACATAATTCCACCATTGTAACTCCACTTGAAATGGATTATTTGGATAAGAATGGCTGGCCCATTAACTGTGCTCCACCGGTAAATCGCCGGGTAATGAAAATGTAAACGATCCGCGGCAGCGACTTCGTTTCAACGATTTCCGGACGTTAAACAGACCAAGGATAACGAACATTTTTAGCTCGTTAGCTTTCCTTCCCCTCTTCTCTCGTAATTCGAGATTCTTCTCGTTGTTAAAGTACGAAATGCACATTACTCGTAGGAGATTCGTTCGAAAGTACGTGACGAGTTTCGTTTTGCGATTAAGTCGTTGGATTTAATCGCGATCCACCGAATGGCTGTGATAAACGGCGATGAAAATGACACGTGCAACCGGTGGAAACGTGTAATCTCTATCGTTCCTACTCGAGCACAGCAATTTCAGCGTAACATCGTTCAATTAAGCGATACCTACACCTGGAATTATCGACGTGAGTGTCGTTCCTCTCCTGTTCCTCGCGGAAATCGCGAATAAAGTTTCATTACCTCTGTAACGACAATTTGCAAGCTTCTGTCGATCGTTTTTTAACTTAAAATGCAAATTGAAGTAAATTTTCAAAAACTCCTTCCTCCCCTAATTTACCAGAATACTAGAAAAGAGAACGTGTTATAAATTAGAATGCTTTCTCTATTAAATTACTAATTTCACACAGGATGATCCAGACGCAGGTGCAGACACGTTACAAAAAAAACAATAAATATTTATTTATACAATCATAAAAAAAAAACAACGTAAACACAACATTATTGTACAATCATCGTCCCACGGCGACGGGACTAGCGAAAATAAGTTAATCATAAATTAATTCGATAACTGGAGAGATAGAGATAGAGAGAGAGAGTATAGTTACAGAGAGTGTGAATGCAGTCGTTCCTCGTTCGTCCGTTGCGGTTTCCGTGTCGATGGGAGCGTCTCGTTCGTCGGTCGCGTCGGTCATCTACGTGCGTGATTCGACTCCGTAACAGTTCGATTACACTGACAGAACCGTCGATATAACAATTCCTCACCAGCGGTCGATCGAACGGCGAATAATCGTAAATCAGTCGAATCGGCCATTGGCCTCGTTCACCTCCTGGTCTACAGCGATCCAGCGTAACTCTGTCCTAAACGGTCCAGTCTGTACAGTCAGTCGAATAGAGTCCAGGAAGAAAAGTATCGTCGAAGAAGAAAAGGTAAGAACGAAGAAGAAGTAGAAAACAGAAAGTAAAGAGTTGGAGAAGAATTAAATCTAACGGCAAGAGTGTGCTGGCAAGAATCGATGGACCTGAATAGGTCTGAAAGACGCGAATTAGCGTCGTCAGGTGCCACGAATCCGAATCCACGGGTTTCCAATCTTCCTTCACTTCACGTGAGCCGAGTAGGCTAAATCGTGGGCGCCACTCTGGTCGGAAATAGTTCCCGGACCGTGGAAGCTTCTTGCCCAACCACTGGAGTAACTGTCGCCGTGACCATGATCGGAGCTGAACGTGTGACTGCTGCTGTGATGAGGATGAGCTACCACTTCGTAGGTGACGTGCTTCTGGCCGGAGAACAGCTTCTTCAGACCTATTATACCGGCTAGAAGGAGGGCGATCTTGGAGAGAAGTAGGGCTTTGCCAACGAGCAACGCGAGCGCCTTGAACGCTAGACCGCCTATCAGACCGATCTTCAATACAGCCGCGGCGATCAACGGGCCAAGGTTATTGTTCTTCTTGCCACGACCTGGAAATTCGATTGTAGAATGAGATGAATGTCGCTTTCGTCGGGGAAGGTAAACCGCGGGGGACTTTCTATGGTTGTTAAGGCTGCTGAGGCGTGACCGAATTGATATTGCGTGGAGGAGGAGATAGGAGAGTAGGAGGAGTGAGGATTTTATTTTGTGGATGGATTGAGGGGAAGGGAAGGTTTTTTTGGGTGGAGGACTGGAGGGTTGATTTGTAACGGGGAGTGTGGTGTGTGGGGGCGTTGAATGTTGAGTGATTTGGGAGAGGAGTGTTTGATTTGGTGAGCTTTGAGATGTGATGTTTAGTACGCTTTGCTGTTATCTAGGATCTGAAACTCTAGGCTTTGAAATTCTAAGCTTTGACATTCTAAGCCTTGACGTGCTAAGCTTTAATCTTTGCTCTTGCTCTGAGCTTTAAGAATCGCTAACCTTTGCTATTCCCTAAGCTCTACGATCTTCTCAGCTTTGAAGTTCACTAACCTTTGCTATTCTCTAAGCTTTGAGATTTGCTAACCTTTGCTATTCTCTATGCTCTGAAATCTTCTCAGCTTTGAAGTTCACTAACCTTTGTTATTCTCTAAGCTTTAGAATTTTCTGTGCATTAAAATTCAGTAATCTTTGCTACTCTCTATGCTCTGGAATCTTCTTAGCTTTAAAATTGACTAACCTTTGCTGTTCCCTACGCTCTGAAATCTTCTGAGCTTTGAAATTCACCGAACTTTGCTATTTTCCAAGCTCTGGAACTTTTTGAGCTTTGAAATTCACTAAAATTTGCTATTCTCTAAGCTCCGGAATTATCTGAGCTTTGAAATTGACTAACCTTTGCTATTCTCTAAGCTCTGGAATTCTCTGAGCTTCCAAATTCAATAACCATCGCTATTTTCTAAGCTCTGGAATCATCGGAGCCCTAAAATTCACTAAAGTTTGCTATTCTCTAAGCTCTATAACTTCCTGGGCATTAAAATTCACCAACCGTTGCTATTCTCTAAGCATCACAGCTCCCTAAGCTCCTCCACCTTCAAATCTTGGCACTTTCAAAACCCATCATCCAGAAATTCCAAAGACATAATTACCATCCTGCACGGGAACATTGTCCGCCCTCTCAATGGACAATCCAAGGTTCAACGATCCATTTTCATCCTCGGATGCAGAAACTACAACGTCGTCCTCAGGAAGAATCCTCCACTTGATGCTTCTGGACTTGATAAACGCGTACACCTTGTTCGCGACAAGGTCGAGGACCTCCGACTCGTCGTCTTTACTCCTACCAGCTTCGAACGTGATCACCTCCTCCGATGCTTGGCTAGTTTTTCTGATCTCGATGTCGTCTGTCAGCTCGATCGACGCCTTCTTCAGTAGCTTGTTCATGTAAGTGACCAGCTTGAGCATCACACAGCTACTGATGTCATTCTGCGAGCACTTCGAGTTCAGTTTACGAAGCAATTCCTCTTCGTACTTGGCTCGGTCCGTTAGCGTCACGGATTGTTTCTCGAGCACGCTGATCTTATCCAGCTTCTCCAGCGGGGTCGCCAGGCTCACGGCCAGACACGAGATCGAGAGGAATAACAGAACGGCTTTCATCTTGTTCCCCTGTAGAATTATTCGAGAAATAATTATTCGTACAGAAATTTTGAGAAATATTGTGAAGACTAATGGACAAGATATCCTAAATTTTAGGGACTCTAGAAGACCAAAAGAGCCTCAAAATTCGAAAAAATGAAATGTTAAACTTTCTTCAGACTTGACATGTCTTGAAATCTGAGAGTATTGAACGAACCTTCGCGTTTAATCTCAAAATAGAAATATAGGGAAATATTGTGAAGACTAATGGACGAATGATCCTAATTTTTAGGGACTCTAGAAGACCAAATTTGAGAAAATGAAAATTTTTAACTTTCTTCGCACTAAAAATTTTGGAATCTCATTGATATCTTAAAATCTGAGAGTAGGTATTGAATGAACCTCCCGATTTAATCTCATTGGCATCACAAATTCTCAAAGGACTAATTGTAAGTCATCTCAATGATAGAGATCAAAGAACTCATTAACGAATGAAAAATTAATTACACCTCGTCCCTTTGAATTACGAAACTCCTTTCAATATCATAACTTTCGTCACAGCCATCCCTTTGAGGTACTCAAAACCTTCCTCAAAATTCCAGTGAAATAATTGAGAACCCCAAAACACTAAGTCATCCTAATAACAGACATAAAATAACTCATTGATCCGTCAAAAATTAATCACACCCATCCCCTTGAAGTACTCAAAACCTTCCTCGAAATCATCTCAAAATTCCAGTGAAATAATTGAGAACCTCAAAACACTAAGTCATCCTAATGACAGATATAAAATAACTCATTGATCAGTCAAAAATTAATCACACCCATCCCCTTGAAGTACTCAAAACCTTCCTCGAAATCATCTCAAAATTCCAGTGAAATAATTGAGAACCTCAAAACACTAAGTCATCCTAATGACAGATATAAAATAACTCATTGATCAGTCAAAAATTAATCACACCCATCCCCTTGAAGTACTCAAAACCTTCCTCGAAATCATCTCAAAATTCCAGTGAAATAATTGAGAACCTCAAAACACTAAGTCATCCTAATGACAGATATAAAATAACTCATTGATCAGTCAAAAATTAATCACACCCATCCCCTTGAAGTACTCAAAACCTTCCTCGAAATACTTTGCTATTTTCCAAGCTCTGGAACTTTTTGAGCTTTGAAATTCACTAAAATTTGCTATTCTCTAAGCTCCGGAATTATCTGAGCTTTGAAATTGACTAACCTTTGCTATTCTCTAAGCTCTGGAATTCTCTGAGCTTCCAAATTCAATAACCATCGCTATTTTCTAAGCTCTGGAATCATCGGAGCCCTAAAATTCACTAAAGTTTGCTATTCTCTAAGCTCTATAACTTCCTGGGCATTAAAATTCACCAACCGTTGCTATTCTCTAAGCATCACAGCTCCCTAAGCTCCTCCACCTTCAAATCTTGGCACTTTCAAAACCCATCATCCAGAAATTCCAAAGACATAATTACCATCCTGCACGGGAACATTGTCCGCCCTCTCAATGGACAATCCAAGGTTCAACGATCCATTTTCATCCTCGGATGCAGAAACTACAACGTCGTCCTCAGGAAGAATCCTCCACTTGATGCTTCTGGACTTGATAAACGCGTACACCTTGTTCGCGACAAGGTCGAGGACCTCCGACTCGTCGTCTTTACTCCTACCAGCTTCGAACGTGATCACCTCCTCCGATGCTTGGCTAGTTTTTCTGATCTCGATGTCGTCTGTCAGCTCGATCGACGCCTTCTTCAGTAGCTTGTTCATGTAAGTGACCAGCTTGAGCATCACACAGCTACTGATGTCATTCTGCGAGCACTTCGAGTTCAGTTTACGAAGCAATTCCTCTTCGTACTTGGCTCGGTCCGTTAGCGTCACGGATTGTTTCTCGAGCACGCTGATCTTATCCAGCTTCTCCAGCGGGGTCGCCAGGCTCACGGCCAGACACGAGATCGAGAGGAATAACAGAACGGCTTTCATCTTGTTCCCCTGTAGAATTATTCGAGAAATAATTATTCGTACAGAAATTTAGAGAAATATTGTGAAGACTAATGGACAAGATATCCTAAATTTTAGGGACTCTAGAAGACCAAAAGAGCCTCAAAATTCGAAAAAATGAAATGTTAAACTTTCTTCAGACTTGACATGTCTTGAAATCTGAGAGTATTGAACGAACCTTCGCGTTTAATCTCAAAATAGAAATATAGGGAAATATTGTGAAGACTAATGGACGAATGATCCTAATTTTTAGGGACTCTAGAAGACCAAATTTGAGAAAATGAAAATTTTTAACTTTCTTCGCACTAAAAATTTTGGAATCTCATTGATATCTTAAAATCTGAGAGTAGGTATTGAATGAACCTCCCGATTTAATCTCATTGGCATCACAAATTCTCAAAGGACTAATTGTAAGTCATCTCAATGATAGAGATCAAAGAACTCATTAACGAATGAAAAATTAATTACACCTCGTCCCTTTGAATTACGAAACTCCTTTCAATATCATAACTTTCGTCACAGCCATCCCTTTGAGGTACTCAAAACCTTCCTCAAAATTCCAGTGAAATAATTGAGAACCCCAAAACACTAAGTCATCCTAATAACAGACATAAAAGAACTCATTGATCAGTCAAAAATTAATCACACCCATCCCCTTGAAGTACTCAAAACCTTCCTCGAAATCATCTCAAAATTCCAGTGAAATAATTGAGAACCTCAAAACACTAAGTCATCCTAATGACAGATATAAAATAACTCATTGATCAGTCAAAAATTAATCACACCCATCCCCTTGAAGTACTCAAAACCTTCCTCGAAATCATCTCAAAATTCCAATGAAATAATTGAGAACCTGAAAACACTAAGTCATCCTAATAACAGACATAAAAGAGCTCATTTATCAGTCAAAAATTAATCACACCCATCCCCTTGAAGTACTCAAAACCTTCCCCGAAATCATCTCAAAATTCCAGTGAAATAATTGAGAACCTCAAAACACTAAGTCATCCTAATGATAGATATAAAATAACTCATTGATCAGTAAAAAATTAATCACACCCATCCCCTTGAAGTACTCAAAACCTTCCTCGAAATCATCTCAAAATTCTATCCCCTTGAAGTACTCAAAATTCCAGCGAAATAATTGAGAACCTGAAAACACTAAGTCATCCTAATAACAGACATAAAAGAGCTCATTGATCAGTCAAAACTTAATCACACCCATCCCCTTGAAGTACTCAAAATTCCAGCGAAATAATTGAGAATCTGAAAACACTAAGTCATCCTAATAACAGACATAAAAGAACTCATTGATTAGTCAAAAATTAATCACACCCATCCCCTTGAAGTACTCAAAACCAGATCTCCCAAAGAATATTCCAAAGATCCACAAATCACCCCAAAAACCAACCAAAAAGCAGTCCAACCAGAGAATCCATCTTCCACCCGATCCAAAAGCGTACCCACCTAAATTCCACTGTTCAGATCCCTCGAACCGGAAGCTGCACGGAGACAGGCACTCTGCCGGTGCCTTTTCCCTCAGTGTGTCCTTGCTGAGCCAGCGACCGCCACACCAGTGTCAAAGTCACGTCCCTAGGTCCGCGTTGTTTCCACCCGATGCGTGGATCTGAGTATTCTGAACCCGTCGTCTCGCCCTGGCCACTTTATATACGTAGATCAGCCCGAGTGCGTACACGCGAAAACGTGCTACACAAGCACCACCTTGTGTGGTGACGCGGAAAGGCACACGGGGGCGGGTGGTGCCCACTTTTGCCTTTGATACGAGGCAAGCTGGCTGACTGGTCGAATGTCGGTGGTGGGATATGCTTCCATGGTGTGCTTCACTACCTCCTTCTACGCTTCCTTGGATCTCGCTGAAAAGACCACCGACCGACCCGTCTACAAGATTCCCAAGGTGAGGGCTACGAGCGCGTTGGTACTTGGCGCGCGCGCAAACTGGTTCCACACGAGGAGGTGTAGCCACTGTTCTTCAATCGGGGGACTCGATCGGTTGGTGAGACGGACGTTTGTTTGTTGCCTGGACCTGCACACAAACAAACGGATTCTTGGACGCGTTGCGTTGGGCAGCCACGACCCACCGCGAGAACCGTGTCACGGATGTGGAGCACGCACACCGAACCGGCCGACACTGCGACGCGGTTGCTCCGTGGAATCGCGTGTTTTCGATTTGGAGCAATTTTTCTTGGGTACGCGGGTTCGGTCTTAAGGGAAGTAGGCTTGGGGGCGTGGCTTTTGGAGATTGATTTGAGGGTGGTTTGGGGTCGGTTTGGGTAGATTCTGATGTCACTTTGGTGGCGAATTGAATATTTGGTTTTGTGGCAATTAGGGTGTGATTGAGTTGGAATGGAAGCTTGGAGTGATTAAAATATTTGCGGTGGGTTTGGGTAGATTGTGGTCCCACTTTGGTAGCGAATTAGAGCTCCTTTTTATGATAATTGGGGTATGATTGAGTTGGAATGGAAGTTAGAAGTGATTAGAATTTTTAGGGGTACGGTTGATTCCAGTGATTAGGGCTTTTTTAGTTAAGAAAGAATTCTTTAGGGAATACTGGCTTTAGAACTATTAGTTTCGTTAAACAGATTTCAATTTAAGAGTTGTATCGGTAATATAGATTTTAGTGATCGATGTGATGTTGGGAATATAGAATTTAGAGATCGATGTGATGTCGAGAATATAGATTTTAATGATCGATGTGATGTTGGGGCATACTCTCATGTCAATTCGATTGCAAATTAAATTTTCATTGCACTAAATAGGGTGTGATTGAGTTAGAGTAGAAATTTAAAGTGTTTAAAAAATTTTTTTAGTCAAGACAGAATTCTTTAGGGAATTCAGAACTATGAGTTCCATTTCAGACATTTGGATTATGCTTTTAAGAGTTATGTGGGTAATATAGATTTTAGTAATCGATATGGTGTTGGGACATACACTCTAATATCAATTCAATTGCAAATTAAATTTTCATTATTCTAATTGGGTTGGAATAGAAGTTTGAAGTTATTAGTGGTTTTTTTAGCGAAGAGGAAATTTTATGGGCAAACTGACTATGACACTTAGCTTCGTTTAAGAAACTTTAATTATGCTTCCGAAAAATATTTTGAGAATATAGATTTCAATGATCGATGTAGTGTTGAGATACACACTGATGTAAATTCGGTAGCGAATTAAATTTTCATTATATTAACCGAGGTGTGGTTAACTAGGAATTACGAGTTCAATAAGAATATTAATTCAGAGAAACCTGAATACAAAGTAGACGAGAAGATTAATACAGTTTACGATCCTTATCCCGCGCATCTTTTCACCAGCTGATTTTTCACTTAGAGAGCGTAAAACTCGCGTAAACAATAACTGGAATTA